CGTAGCTATTCGGATTCTGTGATGGCACTTTCGTAGATTTCACGAAAATCGAAGCTACGATGGATTCTGTGATAGCCCTGTATATTCCGAAAAGAAAAACTAAATTTAGGAATATGCATATACAAATAGAAATGCTCAAACTATAAGCTCAAAAACAGTCAGGGCTATCACGGAATCCATCGTAGAAAATCTACAAATTCAAATGCCCGCTACGAATACGAAAAAACTGCTATCACTGAATCCGAGTGAACTCAAAAATATCGTTGCCAGCTTCGAATGCTGATTCGAAATCAGTTAGTGCAAAGGAAACAACAGACAGTTATGTATGTCATTTTGCTCTCGCTGCCCCATCAGGCGCAATGGCCGAGTGTGCAAAGCGCTAAACTGCCAATTGATCCCTTGAAATCCGAGTCGTGGGGCAGTGGAGATTTTTTTATTTTTATACCCGAGCGCACTTGTGCACAAGGGTATTATAACTTTGTTCACATAACGGTTGTTTGTAACAGGCAAAACGAATCGAGATAGATATAGACAAATGTATACATAAATGATCAGAATGAAAAGAGAAATCGATTAAGCGGTGACTGTCTGTCCGTCCGTCCGTCCGTCCGTCCGTCCGTCCGTCCGTCCGTCTGTGCACACGATAACTCGAGTAAAAATTGAGATATCTTAACGAAACTTGGTACGTGGACTTCTTTTGGGCATGGGACGGATGGTATTGAAAATGGGCGAAATCGGACAATAACCACGCCTACCTCCCATATAACGGTAATTTTCAGAAATACGAAAAGTGCGATATTTTAGTAACTACTGAAGATAATTCACTCAAAATTGATATTTACAATGAGTTTTAGACGAAAAATAAGAATATTAAAAAATTTTGGCAAATGGGCGTAGCCACGCCTACTTATGGTTACATGCGTATATCTTGGTAACCGCTACACCAATTTCTTCCAAACTTGGCACAGTTGTTGGTCCTGCTACAACATACCAAATGGCCGAAAATTTTTAAAATCGGACAATAACCACGCCCACATCCCATATAACGGTAATTTAGAAAAATACGAAATCCTCGATAAATCAGTAAATATCGAAGCTAATTTATTCAAAATTGATGCTTGCTAAAATTTTTTACCAAGAAATACGCTTATGATACAATTTTGGAAAATGGGCGTGGCACCGCCCACTTATGATCACATATAAGTATATCGGTAACCGTTCTACCAATTTGAACCAAACTCGGTGTGGTTATTGTGCTTGCCACATAAAAGCAAAGCGTTGAAAATTATTGAAATCGGACTAAATTACGACCGCTTTTCATATAACGGTATATTTCAGTAATGCTTGAAACTTCAATATTTCGAAATTTAAGGACGCTAATTTACTTAAAATTTATACACCCCAGCTTATCGTGTAGCGGTAGTTTTCGGAAAGGTGGAAAACATATATTTAATAATTGCGCCGGGTATTTAATGTTCGGCTCCGCCCGAACTTAGACTTTCTTACTTGTTTTATTTAATTTTTGTTTATTTTTTTTAATAAATATTTTTTTTAGTTTATATTTAGCTTAGATTTTATTATTTTAAATAGAAAAATATTTTTGTTATAAATATTATGATATTAAATTAATTAGGTTTATTTCCTAATAAATTGTTGCTAAACTATTATTTCCTCAGCATAATCTCGTCGTAGATTATTTGTACGAATATTCATTACGAACGGATTCAATGAAGGCTCTCTACGAATTTCGAATTTACGTTCGTAGCCATACGGATTCTGTGATAGCACTTCCGTAAATTTCACGAAAATCGAAGTTACGATGGATTCTGTGATAGCCCTGAGTAATTTATGCGGTGTTTTCAAGATATTTTAACGCCCTTGAGTCACAAGTAAATACAAGACTCATATTTTATCAATCATACCGATAATTTCATTTATTAAAAAGATTGTAAATGAAAATGAATAAACAAAGCAACATCGCAAACAATATAGAAAAAAGTTTTTTTCTTAACAGCGGTCGTCCCTCGGCAGGCAATGGCAAACCTCCGAGTGTATTTCTGCCATGAAAAACAGCTTTTCATAAAAATACCATCGCCGTTCGGAGTCGGCGTAAAACTGTAGGTCCCTCCTCTTTGTGTGGCAACATCAAGGCGCACGCCACAAGTCGTAGGAGAAGCTCGGCCAAACACTAACATATGTGTAAGCGCCAATCTATTATTATTATTAAATGAAAATGAATAAAAAAAATAAATCAGCAAAATTAATAAAATTAAGTGAAATTAATGTTTAATTTCTAACCTGATCTACATGTGTATGTATTTAGCTGAATCGTCTAATAATAAGTTTACATATGAAAAGTGTACCCTCATTTTTCAGTTTAACTTCCTAATATGTAATTAGAAAAAGAGATTAGCCATACAAAATTATAATTATAAAATAATCTCAGATTAAACGGTTAACTTTGGATGACTTTTTGGTGTCCAACCTAGTTTTATCGATTACACTTGCGAAGAAGAGGAGTGTCATATATAAATGTAAATGTAGCATAAGCATATGAATGTCATAGATAGAAAATCTGAATTATTTCCGGAACTTGTGTAATCACTGTCAATTTAATGTCATTCCAATAAAGAAGTCACACGTGCAAAGATATACGACAGTTCTGGCGACGAGAATTACTATAATTTGCTGAAAAAAACGCAATGCCAGGAGACAGTATACAAACACAGTATACAGAGACAAATAGCTGCGTTCCAATTGGACGCATTCGATGTGAAAAATATGCCATGGAATCGGCGGGTGAAACGATTCGAAACCGCGTTATCACTCTTCAATGCTGACGCAACAAAAAAACGTCAACTGCTACTCCATTATATGGGAGCCACGACTTACAATGTGCTTTGCGATAAAGTGCTGCCCAACGAGCCAGAGACTCTGCAGTACGAGGAGATCGTATCGACGTTGGAAAACCACTTCAACCCAAAGGCCAACGAAATTTTAGAAAACTATAGATTCCATCTAAGGAAGCAGCAAAATGGTGAGTCGTGCGAACTGTTTTTAGTGGCTTTGCGTCTTCTGGCAAAAGGTTGCAATTTTGGTGACTATTTGAATATTGCATTACGGAATCAATTAGTATTTGGTTTGAAAAACCAAGCAATCCAAAATCGGTTACTGGAAAAGAAAAGTTTAACATTAGATGATGCGATCAATATAGCAAAGGCCTACGAAGTAGCGGAGAAAGAAGGGTGCGAGCTACATCAAAAAGGCGCGACGAGCAGCGAGGTTAATAAAATACACGAAACACAGCGAGCAAAATCACCTGAAAAGAAAACTGCAAACACAAAATGTCAAGAAAGAACGGCACTAGAGAAAGATAAAGCAATAAAAAGCAAACAATGTTTCCGATGTGGCAATGCCAATCACATGGCCAATAAGTGCAAGTTCAGGGATGTTGTATGTCACTACTGCAAGAAACGGGGCCATGTGCGAAATATGTGCCTAAAAGAAACGAAAAGTGTAAACGTCATAGAAAAACAAAGGGAAGATTATGTGTACGATTTACTTAAACTCAACTGCAACACTCTACACCCGAAAGTTATGTGTACACTAAAGATAAATAATATTGATATCAACTTCGAAATTGACACCGGCTCCCCAGTGACAATAATCAGCTTGAAAGAAGCAAAGAAATACTTTAATGACGAACCAGTAATTAAAAGTGACTTGCGATTGTACAGCTATTGTCAAACAAAGCTGGAATGTTTAGGATATATGTGTAACAGTGAAGGCCAAAGCGCCAGTGCGGGCAAGAATGTACATCGTGCGCTCCGATCGCCAACGTCTGCTTGGGCGAGAATGGCTTCGGGAGGTCGATATAGATTGGAAAAATATTATAGACAACCAATTGAAAGAACGTACGACAGTCAACGTTTTATCGAGTGGAAGTGCTGAAGTGAAGTTACAAAACATATTAAGAAAGTTTCCGCTGTTATCAGCACCAAATGTGTAGAATTTACAAAAATCGACTTGGCAAAAGCGTACCTACAGCTTGAAATTCATCCGGATAATCGAGAGCTGTTGACCTTAAGCACACAGAAGGGTTTATTTCAACCGACGCGTATGATGTTTGGGATTGCGAGTGCGCCTGCAAAGTGGCAGCGGTTTATGGAGCAGCTGTTGGGAGATATGGCGGGCGTTAAAGTATTTTTGGACGATATAAAAATCACGGCGAGCGACGACGTTACCCATTTACAAAGGATTGAAGAAGTGCTTAAAAGGTTAAATACGCGTAACATGCGTGTACATTTAGAAAAGTCTGAATTTCTTCGCGACAAAATCGAGTACTGCGGTTACGAAATCAGCAAAATGGGAATACGAAAACAGAAAACGAAAGTGGAAGCCATCCAAGATATGAAACAACCGTCAACTAAGGACGAGGTAAGGGCTTTTCTTGGACTAATTAATTACTACGGGAGATTCATTCCAAACCTTAGTAATGTCGTATATCCATCGAATCAGTTGTTACATAAAAGTTCAGTTTTTAATTTCGATAAAAAATGTTATAAATCATTCAAGCGAATCAAAGAAATGACGCAAACAGACACAGTTTTGACACATTACGATCCGCAGCTACCGCTCGTTTTAGCGGTGGATGCCAGTCCCACAGGCGTTGGAGCCGTGTTAAGCCACACTTTTCCGGACGGTACAGAAAAGCCAATTCAGTTTGCCTCGCAAACACTAAACGATGTCCAACAGCGATACAGTCAGGTAGATAAAGAAGCGTACTCAATTATATTTGGTGTCAAAAAGTTTTATCTATATGTGTTTGGGAGACGCTTTACTTTAGTCACTGATAACAAAGCCATTGCGCAAATATTTTCGCCACATAAGGGCTTACCTACTTTATCTGCGATGCGTATGCAACACTATGCGATATTTTTGGAATCGTTGATTACGTCGTCCGGGTAAAAAGCAGTAAATCAAATGCAAATGCTGATGCCATGTCACGACTTGCAACGCAAAAGCGCGATTGTTTTATAGAAGAAGTAGATGTGATAACAGCGCAGTTAATAGATAACTTACCTGTTACAGCAGAAAACTTGGGTGCAGCTACAGCTAAAGAACCAGAGGTTAAAATTCTGGTAGAATGCCTAAAATACGGCCGTGATTGTGAGGCGAAGCAACGATTTGGAATTCCACAAATAGAGTTCACTTTGCGGAAAGGTTGCCTTTTACGAGGTTTCCGTGTGTATGTACCCACCGCACTACGACAAAGGGTACTTAGTGAATTACACAGCGGTCATTTTGGAATGGTCAAAATGAAAACACTAGGGCGTTCTTATTGCTGGTGGCCTAACCTAGACCGGGATATAGAGAAATTGGTTTCTAATTGCGTATCCTGCCAAAGCATCCGATCCGATCCAGTCGCGGTTCCTGTACATTGTTGGGCACGACCGGGTAAAGTCTTCGAGCGCGTGCATGTGGATTACGCAGGTCCAATGTCTGGCAAGTACTTATTCGTCTTGGTAGATGCCTATAGCAAGTGGCCTATTGTAAAAATTGTAAACAATATGACGACCGACACAACGATCGCCGAATTCCGAGACATTTTTGCAACTTTTGGTATACCGAATATATTAGTAAGTGATCATGGCACCCAGTTTAACTCTAAAGAGTTTCAAGCGTTCTTGAGATCGAATGGCATAGTGCGCAAGCAAGGTGCTCCCTATCATCCGGCAACGAATGGGCAGGCCGAAAGATTCATACAGACAGTTAAACAGAAGCTGACAGCAGCTATGATTAAATCAGGCTCAATGCATAAAGAGTTGCAAAACATTTTGCTCAGCTACCGAAGAGCAATCCACCCGACTACAGAAAAAAGTCCAGCCATGGTTATGTTTGGTCGACAAATTCAAACTCGCTTAGATTTTCTACTACCGCAAACTACGCTCGGTAATACGGACAAAAAGATTACCAAAAAGGTTTTCGCAGAAGGCGAGAGGGTCTCAGTGCGAGATTACTTGTCGAGTGAACGCTGGCAACTTGGCAAAATCATTTCCAGACGCGGTGATATCCATTACGAAGTTCAACTTGATGATGGAAGAATATGGAGACGCCACGTCGACCAAATACGCAACGTGGGTCAACAATTACCTTAGTCGTCTTATTCAACCTATGGCTCCTGAGCAGGTAAAAGCTGGCGTGCATGGTGAGATGTACGAGCAGCGCGAAGAAACAACACAGTCGCAAACACAACCGACACAAAAAAACAACGCAATCAATGCAGCTTTACCACAAGTAGCACACGCACCAACGGAGCAGAACTCAGGTACCGAAGTACATCTAAGGCGATCGGAGAGAGTCCGAAAGGAACCAGACCGGCTCCAATATAATTAAAATAAATTATGTAGTTGAAACCATCTTTAAAATAAATTTTATTTTTAGTTATTAAGTACATATAAATGAAAATAAGCTTGAAAATAAGCTTGAAGATGTTGAATTGAAATTTAAATTCCGAAATACGTATATATGTATGCTTTTTCATACACAAATCGCTTTTTATATTCATGAAAATAGGTGGTGGAGAGATGTCATATATAAATATAAATGTAGCATAAGCATATGAATGTCATAGATAGAAAATCTGAATTATTTCCGACACTTGTGTAATCACTGTCAATTTAATGTCATTCCAATAAAGAAGTCACACGTGCAAAGATATACGACAAGGAGGAATGTCAAATGTAAAAGTAAACAAAAATTTACGCTAGTAAGGAAAATATGTTTGTAACGGTGTTTTTAACAAAATATTCAGTTAAAATATAGTTTAATAGCATAATATGTGTAGCAGAAAAAAGTGACCACGGTGGCACAGGGAAGAAGTTTAATTTTTCCTCGAGTTGTGTGAATAAAAAGCACAACCAGTTTGACAGCTAACGAGCTTTTATTGAGATTATATTTATATGCAAACGTACTTTTATGCTTTGCCGTTCGCATATGTTTACACATCAAATTTCATGAGTACCTAGTACTCACGCCTTTCTTAACAACTCTTTTTTAGTTCACTTTTTTATACAAAATCGCCCAATAACCAACTTGGGATAATTTCTTTTATTAAAAAATCCCACGGTTTCTCTTAGTTGGTTTATATTCCACTTCTAACTGCTCAGTTTGCCTCGGAAAATTCCGTTTTTTACCCATTTTGAAAGGGTTCCCTAGGGGTCTGTGGGAGGATCCGTGGGGCGGGCCTTTTTATAAAGTGGGGACATCCCCCTTTCTAATGGGAGGGGTGTAGGGGTGATTTTGATTATCTATCATAAGTGTGACATGAGATTAAAATTTTAAGAAAACTTGTGACTTAGAAGTGCTGAAATTTGCATGTTTAGACTCGTATTACTCGACAAAAACGCGGTAGAAAATAAAATTATTTTACACATCGTTACCAGTAACTATAGCAACATCGTTGTAAAGTTTGCATAAAATGATCCGTAAAATGTTATTCCGGGTGCTCTTGACGAATTTTACCCCATACATATCTTTACGCTTAACCGCCGCAATCGCGTGCTGCAAAAGCATGTACTTCTGTGCCTCGGGAATCTATTTGTCCATCTTCTCCTGCTCTTACGGGGGATGCGGACGCTTCCTCTAATGACAGTATTGCGCTACCAAGAGAAAATAATGAAACTAAGAATTGTGAAAATAATGATACAATAACTCTACAAGCCGTGCTTGATGAAATTGTTACGCTGAAAACTGAAAACTCTAAAATGCTTACGCTTATTAACTCTCTTCATAGTGACAAAAAAAGTTTGCAACAAAAAATGGACAGTTTGCTAATTGAGCTACAACAACTAAATAAGGTTAATACATCATGAAATTAAAGGTCTGCAGAGTAATGTAAATCAGCTTATTATTAATAATAAATCGGCTGCCGTAGCAAATAAATACGTGCCCTGTAATCATTTACCTGCTGCTCTTCAAAAACAAATACAAACGGTAACTCTTGTACGAACGTTGTTAAATCTAATGATAACATAAATTGCCTTAAATGCGTTCACCGACATTACAAATTGCACCTCTTCTCCTTCTGTTTCTGCTCCTGGATGTACAGTAAAACCCGCTTAAGTACCTCACGAAAAATGTCACTTGTTTTTTAGATATTTAGGCGGGTTGGGTACTTAAAAGAACCCGCTTAAGTACCTCGATGCGGGTACTTAAGCGAACATAATTATTGAACTTAGTTACATCTTGTTACCATACATAAATAAATACTCGAATTATTTAAACACATATACAAAAACTTAAAAAAAAAATCGATAGAGCAATGTTACGTCATTTTTACAAGAATTCAACTCTTTAAAGTCATTGATTATACATATTTATATACATACAGTGTTGGAAAAATCTATCATTTCGGAACAAATTAAAAATGATGTTGTTTGCCACTTATGTTTATTTATTAATTTTTATGATTTTCCAATTCAAATTTTCTAAAAATCAGTGCAGCTCTCAAGAAAAAAATGTTAGGATTTTTATTTTTTCAAGAAAGTTTAGAGCAAAAGCTTAAAAGGCAGCTCTCAAGAAAAATCATAAGAAATAAATTTCATTATTTCTGTTGCTTTAAAAAACATTTTGCCTTTGTTGTAAATTTTACGGAAGAAATAAATATACGAACATTATTTTTAATTTTCTGTGCGTCATTTTATATGAATTTTTCGTATTTCTTGAGAGCTGGAAGCGGGCCTAAAAACAAGGTACTTTTTCAACCAACAGAAATAATGAAAAACAAGCCGGCCCATGCGCAGTCTGCCCAGACAGAAATACACAGTAAACTCATCCCTCTTTGTAGCCACAGATAGAAGCAGACTGTTCTAATAGTTCGCGGAAATAATTATTCTTATAAACCCCTTATTTTTATTATACATATATTACAAAGAATTAATGAGATTTATAGTACATCAGAGCTTATACTTATTAGGTACATACATAAAAACATATTACAAACTGACTGATATATGAGTGTCATGAGTTGAGGGGAACATGGTTTCACTTACTTTGTATAAAATATTGGAGGAGAAAATATATTCAGAATTTATTTTTTGATTAAATGTTTCTTTAACAGAAACAATAATATCTGAGAATCGTCTTAAAGCTAAAGCACAACACCGGCGAACGGCAAATTTTTCGTCGCGAATGTTCGCCGAAATAATTAAAACACACTGATTTATATGAGAACGCGCACAACCAAAGCAAACGACGAAGTTTGCTCGACGACTGTTCGCGATGATAGATTTATTTCTATAGCCGCGGTCAACGGCAACGACAAAAAAAGGCCGCGATGACCATACTTTAAAAGTTATCGTAATTTTTGTTTAAAAGTAAAACAATATACCCTATATTTTTCTATCAGAGATCAATCTAGTAAAACGTAAGTTTACTAGTAGTTATATTTAAAGACTATTTCTATATTGTAAACTTCTTCTTGCTGGTATTTTCCCTCTTCGTTGTAAAAGCTTCCTTCTTCAAACATGGTCCCCTTATCAGCTGACAGCATTCGAACCGCTCGATACCGTTCTCTTTGAGTTTCAGTAAGCGAATTAGCTGGGCGAAAGTTGGTCGTCGGCATCGCTCTGCTGGGCGAAATTTGCCGTTCGCCGGGTATTGTGTTTCAAGCATTACTCTAGTTTAAAACAAAATGGTCCTCTACCCGGAATATTGACAAAGTTTACCTGCACTGAAGCAAACGCACGACCGTTGTTAAATTTACGGATATTCTCCAAATAGTTTTTTGTGATGTCATCATTGCGCTCAATAAGTTATTTCAGCTCATCGCGGACAGAAATTGGTGGTAAACTCACCTTGCTCTTGAGGCAACAGATGGATGCAGTATTATCAGCTGCCTCGCCTGGATAAAGTTTAGCTGAGCAAAACTCACATATTTTCTCCATGCGTTCAGCACAATTTGATTCTATCTCATCGTATTTAAGGAAGAGACGTGCATCGCAATACGTCTTTGGTATCATTTCTTGCCGCCTCCTTGCACTGACATCTTCACTTAATCGCTGAAAATATGATGGCACCAAAACACTACTAAATTGGGGAGTGAATTGTTGCCTTTGTTCGGCCCGTTGTTTCTGCCTTTGGTTCCGCATACATTCCCTAACTCGTTGCAAATAGATCTGCCGTTGTTGATTATCCTGTTTTATTGGAAGGCGATTACTTTTTTTGCGATCAGCTGACACTCCCATACACTTTTTTCGAGGCATTGTTATGCGTAATTATATTAAATTGAATCCTATAGTAGTAAAAATGGACATTACGATCAACAAAATAACTTTTTGAAATTATAAGGTTACCGATTTTATGTAGACTTTATGAGATAAACGCAATATGTCAGTATGTCTAATGGAACAAGTAAGAAAGTCTAAGTTCGGGCGGAGCCGAACATTAAATACCCGGCGCAAGTATTAAATATATGTTTTCCACCTTTCCGAAAGCTACCGCTACATGATAAGCCGGGGTGTATACATTTTAAGTAAATTAGCGTCCTTAAATTTCGAAATATTGCAGTTTCAAGCATATCTGAAATTTACCGTTATATGAAAAGCGGCCTCAATTTTAGTCCGATTTCAACAATTTTCAACGGTTTGCTTTTATGTGGCAAGCACAATAACCATACCGAGCTTGGTATAAATTGCTAGAACGGTTAGCGAGATACATATATGTGATCACAAGTGGGCGGTGCTACGCCCATTTTCCAAAATTTTGTCATAAACGTATTTCTTGTGAAGAATTGTTGCAATCATCAATTTTGAATAAATTAGCTTCAATATTTACTGATTTATCGAAGATTTTGTATTTCTCGAAATTACCGTTATATGGGATGTGGGCGTGGTTATTGTCCGATTTTAGAAATTTTCGGCCAGTTGGTATGCTGTACCAGGACCAACAACTGTGCCAAGTTTGGAAGAAATTGGTGTAGCGGTTACCAAGATATACACATGTAACCATAAGTGGGCGTGGCTACGCCCATTTGCCAAAATTTTGTAATATTCTTATTTTTCGTCTAAAACTCATTGCAAATATCAATTTTGAGTGAATTATCTTCAGTAGTTACTAAAATATCGCAGTTTTCGTTTTTCTGAAAATTACCGTTATATGGGAGGTAGGCGTGGTTATTGTCCGATTTTTAAAATTTTCAGCCATTTAGTAAGCTGTACTAAGGCCAACAACTGCGCCAAGTTTGGAAGAAATTGGTGCAGCGGTTACCAAGATATACACAT